TGTTCCCAAGTTGTTGGAATGTGCCCCTGTGGATTCTGATCCTGCCCTGAAACCCTCAAACCCTCTGGGATCTAATCTTTCCAGAGCTCTTGACCGCTGTGGGAACCAGAGGGTTCCGGCCAAATGGTTTGTCAAAGAAATGCCCCTTATTTGACACCACAAATGCCCTTTTATCAGGAAGAGGAAAACGGGAAGACAATAGGATCCCAGAGTCAGATGGACCTGAGTGTGAGTCCTAATGCTGCCACTTAACTCTTAACTCTTAACTTAATTAACTCTTCTGGGCCTCAGAATATAGAGTGGGTTGCTGTGCCCTCCTCCAGGGGATCTTCCTGACCCAGGTATCAAACCTGTGTCTTTTATGTCTCCTGCATTGGCAGGTGGGTTCTTTACCACTAGTGCCACCTGTGAAGCCCATAAAAGGGAAAGTGTTAGTCACTCAGTTGTGTCTGACTCTTTGTGACCCCATGGACTGTAGCCTGCCAGGCTGCTCTGTCCACGGAATTCTCCAGGCAAGAATACTGGAGTGGGTAGCCATCCCCTGCTCCAGGGGATCTTCCCAACCCAAGGATTGAATCATGTCTCTTGCATTGCAGGCAGATTCTTTACCCTCTGAGCCACCAGGGAAGCCCCTATGTAATAGGGGGAATAACAATAACACCTACATCATAGGGATATTCTAAGGATTGAATGGCTTAAGAATCATGCCAGGCATATGAAAGCCCTCAGTATGTTAGATATTGTTAGCTATTGTTACAGGTTGTGTTTCTTTGAAGTTGCTTGCTAATTACAGATAGTGAAGGAGAAGTATAGCATGCTGTTGCTTGCATAACTGGTGGCCTGTCTTCATCAAGGGTGGATGGAAATTGGGGGAGTGCCTATCTTTGAGGGAAGTCTGAGGATCCTCATTGTCAAATGTGGAAACCGAGATCCAGAGAGGTCAAGTGACTTGAGTCAGAATTCACATTCAGGCTTCTCTGACTCCACACCCAGTGTCCTTTCCTCTGGGCCTCCAGTCCTCTTCGCAAAACATCAGCTGTCCAGTCGTTCAGTTTAGTTCAGTTCAGTTGCTCAGTTGTGTCCAACTCTTTGCAACCCCATGGACTGCAGCATACCAGGCCTCCCTGTCCATCACCAACTCCTGAAGTTTACTCAAACTCATGTCCATTGAGTTGGTGATGCCATCCAACCATCTCATCCTCTGTCTCCTCCCGCCTTCAATCTTTCCCAGCATCAGGGTCTTTTCAAATGAGTCAGTTCTTCGCATCAGGTGGCCAAAATATTGAAGTTTCAGCTTCAGCATCAGTCCTTCCAGTGAATATTCAGGACTGATTTCCTTTAGGATGGACTGGTTGGATCTCTTTGCTGTCCAAGGGACTCTCAAGAGTCTTTTCCAATACCATGGTTCAAAAGCATCAATTCTTTGGCGCTCAGCTTTCTTTATAGTCCAACTCTCACATCCATACATGACTACTGGGAAAACCATAGCCTTGACTAGATGGACCTTTGTTGGCAAAGTAATGTGTCTGCTTTTTAACATGCTGTCTAGGTTGGTCATAACTTTCTTCCAAGGAGCAAGCGTCCAGTGGTTACTCCCCTAAATTGTCCCATAATCATTATGGAGCTGGAGAAAGCCAAGGCCAGCACCTGAGTGCCCACCTCGAAGCTGAGGGCTGGCTCTTACCTTCCTTACTCTCATCCTCCCTTTCAGGGGCTTCCAGCTGTGTGGGCAAGCTAGTCCTCAGGATCTGTGTGTGTGTGTGTGTGTGTGTGTGTGTGTGCGTTAAAGAGAGAGATAGAGAGAGAGGGAGGGAGGGAGAGAGATCCCATGGGAATGCATGGGTGAGAAGAGTAAGGACGTGTCTTCTCTGGGTATGGTAAGGAAATGGAGTGTCTTCTTGGCAGCATCCTCATTCATCATCCTTTGTCCTCTGGTGGTCTTGTTTGGAGAACATCTTGTGTTGCTCTCGGGCTCACCTGGAAGCTGCCCAGATTTGGCTCTGGCTTCCTCCCAACCAGTGAGGGCATTTTCTCATCTTCAGCCATTGCCAGATGATTCCGTGCCTACTTGTGAGGCCGCATCAGGACTTCAGTCTTTCAAGATCTCTGAGATGAGCTGCTGGATTCTCTGCCTGGAGAGCTCTCTATGGAGCTGTCAACACAGTTTCCATGAAGAGCACTTGGGACCCCTTCATCTCTGAGGTCTTTAAACCAGCAGAAGTCTTTTTTTGCTTGAAATTTGTGTGCTTGTCTTGTGTGCTTGTTGTGGATGCTCTTTAGAATTGTCATGTCTTGGACCAGGATCCGACGGTGGAGAAGGACCCGAGCAGAAAGGCCACCTCTTGTCAACCATCTGGCCTGGCTTTCTGAGACTCAAGGGGATCCTCCTTTTCCTGGAAACTCCCAGTGATGTCCACAGTCCCATCTGCAGGTGCTCATGTGCCAGGCACTGGGCTGGGTGCTGTATATGCATAATCTTGGTAAAGCATCTGCCTGAAGTGCAGGAGACACAGGAGACCTGGGCTTGATCCCTGGGTCAGGAAGATGCCCTGGAGAAGGGGATGGCAACGCACTCTAGTATTCTTGCCTGGAGAACCACATGGACAGAGGACCCTGGCATGGGCTACAGTCCATAGGGTCACAAAGAGTCGTACATGACTGAAGTGACTTAGCATGCATGCACATTGAATATTTATAGCATCATATTGGAGAGTAACAGTTTTAATCTTCATTTGCTGTATGAAAAGGGAAATTTCTGGAGAGTAAGCAACATCCCCAAGGTTACATGCAGAGCTGGGATTTGATCTGAAGCCTGTCTGACACCAGATCCTGTCTCCTAATTGCTGTAGTGTACTCTGTTCCCCTGAGGATATTTCATGAAACAAACAAGCTTTCTGTGGTGAAAGACGGAGGTGAAACCTTGCTATTCCCACCCATCTCTTGGAGATTTAAAATACACACTAACTTGTTGGAAACCCTGGAAGGTTTCACAGGGAAAAAAAAAAACCTACTTATTTTTATTTGAACCAGAATTTCACAAACTCCTTTAAAACACAGAACCCCTCCCCATCATCCTTCTCTTTGTTGAATACGTGAGTCATCTGGCACGACCAGTATTTTCTGGAACACACTTGGGTAGCCACTACTTTAGGCAAATCTCTCCTCTTCAGATCTCAGTTTCTCTACCTGAAAAATGAAGGGCTTGCGGCATTTGACCACAAATGTGTAATGGGTAGTTTTCCCTGGTGGCTCAGCTGGTAAAGAATCTGCCTGCAATGCAGGAGACCTGGGTTCGATCCCTGGGTAGGGAAGATCCCCTGGAGAAGGAAATGGCAACCCACCCCAGTATTCTTGCTTGGAGAATGCCATGGACAGAGGAGCCTGGTAGGCTACCCCAGTCTGTGGGGTCACAAAGAGTCAGTTCAGTTCAGTTCAGTTGCTCAGTCATGTCCAACTCTTTGCGACCCCATGAACCGCAGCATGCCAGGCCTCCCTGTCCATCACCAACTCCTGGAGTTTACCCAAACTCATATCCATTGAGTTGGTGATGCCATCTAACCATCTCATCCTCTGTTGTCCCCTTCTCCTCCTGCCTTCAATCTTTCCCAACATCAGGGTCTTTTCAAATGAGCCAGCTCTTCGCATCAGGTGGCCACAAAGAGTCAGACATGAGTAACTCACACACACACACACACACACACACACATGGATAACTGGCATGTGACTTGTCCTCTGGCTGTAAGCAACTGGAAATCTGGGTAAAACATATGAAACAGTTGTTTTCAGACGTTGGGCACCAGGCTGACCGCCACTGTGATTCCTGAGAAAAGCAAAACAAACCGAAGTGCCTGCCTCGCATCGCCCCTCTAATTGGAAGCAGCTTTCAAACCTCGGCACAGGAAGTGGAACCCAAGCGAGCCTCGCAGTCTCCCCAATTTGAGGCAGAGATTGGAGTCTGGGGAAGTGGAAGTGCCCGGGGTGGGGTGGCGGTGTCTGTCTAAGTATTGCATTCATTCCACCCGTTCAAGACTGAGAATTAAAAGTCAAGACCTGAAGGATGGATGTGAGTCCACCAGACATCAGGGGAGAGTGGGGCAGAGGAAGAGCATGTATGAAGGTTTGGGACGGGAGGCCCTGCTGGGAGTCCTCCACCCGCCCCTGCCAGCTCAGAGTTGGGCAGAGAACAGTGGTGAGACACGTGGAGAAAGCCCCTGCCCCTCAGCCAGGCCAGGAGAAGGGAGTACCTGCTGAGTGTGTGGGAGTGAGTGTCGGAAGCTGGGTGTGGCTGAGCAGGGCTGTTCCTCCATCCTAGGACCTGATCTTGGGGACCAGGGTGGGATGTCCTTGAGGATGCTGGCCAGGAGAGCCGGGGAGTGGTGGTCTGCGGGGAGGGGATGGTTTTCTGGAGTGTGGAGCAGCGTGAACCTCTCCACCTGCTCCCTATGGGCTGAGCTGCCGCATAGGCTGACAATGGAAATGCTTGCGCTGGAGAAACGCCTCTATTCAGGTGCTTCCCATTCATCTGTGGAGGGGGTGGTGACGGCAGCTAATTCTGGGACTTGCTTGTCTTTGAATGGGGTGATTGCTGAGAGTTGTCAGTGTTCCAGATTGTTCCCTGGGAGGAAGAGGGGGAGGAAGGAGGGGATGTTGTGGACTTTGCTGAGCGCTGCCTGCTGCAGGCAATGCGTGAAGTCATAGAGGGGGCCCTCGCTGGAGAGCCCGGGAGGGTGAGGGGACCAGGGATCCCAGCCCGCAGGCCGGGCCACGATGACCCGATCCCTTCATTCTACCAATGGGAAGACCGGGTTGCCCCAGGGAAGGGGCTCGTCCAGGGTCACCCAGGGTGGCCCAGCCAGCTGCCTGGTTCCAGCAAACAACCCAGGCATCCTCCATGCTGTCTGTGCTCCCTTCCCTCCCTCGGCTCCCCTGAGTCTTTGTGGGGTTCCCCTGGCTGAGGCCTGTGCACGTCAGGAGCCCCTTTTCCCTTTCTCTGGTTGCAGGAGACCAGCGCGGCGGTGGGGTCACTGAGGCCAGCAGCCTCCTGGGGGGCTCACCACGGCGGCCATGCGGCCGGAAGGGCTCCCCATATCACACGGGGCAGCTGCACCCCGCGGTGCGTGTGGCCGACCTCCTGCAGCACATCAACCAGATGAAGACGGCCGAGGGCTACGGCTTCAAGCAGGAGTACGAGGTGCCTGGCCTCGTCCAGCTGGGACCCCTCGCCAGGGCCTCCCTGGCTCCTCCTCGCTGTGGACCCTGGCAGCCCTCCGCCGGTCACTAGATGGATCCTTGCCCTGACGGCCCCCATTTCAAGCTAATTTCTTGACCTTGAACTTGACCCTAATCTCAGCCTGACCTGGTTTCTCCCTCATCCTAACCCTGACTTAAAAAGTGTCTGAATCTTATGTCGGTCTCCATCTGGACCATACCAGGATCCTTCTATCCTTGATGTGAACCTGACCACCAACACTGACCCTGACCTCCAGCCTAAACCCCAGTATGACTTTGACCCTAACTTTCATCCTAAGCTTCATTTGAACTCTGACTTGAATCCCATCCCACCTCTGTCTGGACTTAATTTGACCTTCACCTTTACCTTCGTCCCAGCTCAGACCTGGATTTGACCTAAACCTGACCTTCATTCTGAAATGTGTCTGAACTATAATTACCTCTTTTCCCTTCTTTTTCTCAACCCCCCCCCCCCAACTGCTCGGTATTAAACTTAGTCCCTCACATATAAAGGAATATACAGTGACTTTATCTCAGGCCCCAAGTTTAACCCTGAACCTGGCCCTTACCGTGGTCCTACCTCCTGTGGACAGGGTTGGGCCCTTGGGAGGGGAGGGGCTTCCCTCCCGCCAATAACTACCACTTTCCCTTCTGGTAGAGCTTCTTTGAAGGCTGGGATGCTACAAAGAAGAAAGACAAGGTCAAGGGTGGCCGGCAAGAGCCCATGCCTGCCTGTGAGTCCTGCGGGAGGGCCTGCGGTCTGGGGCAGTGGGTGGGAAGAAGCGGGAAGAGGGAGAGAGCCATTTATGGAGGGCCTGTCGCAGGCCGGGCTAGGTGCTGAGCACCACGCTCCTCGTCTGACTTAGTGTTTTCCGCAGTCCTGTGATGTGGGATGTAGTAGAACTCGCACTTTACAGATGAGGAAACTGAGGCTTGGGAGGTTAACCCCCCCCCGGGGTCACATAGCTGATACTTGCCGGAGCAGCACAGGGCCTTGTTGACGCTGCAGCCCTGACTAACCACTGGCCTGTCCTACCTCCAGCAATACGGAGGGCCTGCTGCTCAGCCCTGAGTCTCTAGGTTCTCTGACTGCGCTGCCCGTGCCCCGGCTCTGGCCTCCAGGAGGCCTCTCCCCCACACTGCCCCAGCGCTGGGCTCCCCATGGCCCCTGCCCGCCCCATGGCCACGTGCTCTGTGTTTCCAGATGATCGCCACCGAGTCAAACTGCACCCGATGCTGGGCGATCCCGACGCTGACTACATTAACGCCAACTACATAGACGTGAGTGCCTCGCCCTGCTGTTCGCTGACTGGCCCCGGCCGCTCCAGGCTCACTGTCCAGGCGGGGCGGGACCCGGCAGGGAAGAAGTCAGGGTTCACGTGGCTGGATTCCTGAGCGCCCCCACCTCCTGCCGCCAGCGCCAGGGAGCTCAGCGGAGCGGGGAGGACAGGGTGGGCAGCAGCTGTCAGGAGGGCTTCCCTGGGGTCGGGGTGTGAGTGAAGCAGAATGGAGGCAAGAGGGCAGCCAGCCAGGCCTAGACATGAGGACAGGTCCCCTCTCAGTGAGGGGCCCCGAGGCTGGAGGTGGGCTTCTCATGGCACATAGTGAGGCTGAGTCAGGCAGGGGCTGGACTCTGAAGGCCTCGAATGGCAGGCTGAGGAGCTGGGCTTTTTTCCTAGGGGCATCAGGGAGCATTGGAAATGTTGGACTGTGACAAACTCAGGTTAATAGACCATGTACTGTGTGCCAAGCACTGTGCTAAGCACTTTATGCCAAATATTTAATTGTCTATATTCCTGACAACCACCCTATGCTGTGGTCAGCATCGTGGCCTCACTTTACAGGAGAGGAAAACTGGGGCTCAGAGACGTGAAGCTACTTTTCTTAGGTCACCCAGCTAGCGAGTGGTCAAGTAGGGATCCGCATCTCAGCTGGTCAGGGTCTCCAGAGCCTTTGCTGCTGACGACAAGGCTGTCCTGCCAGCCGCAGCAGCCATTGGTCAGGCTGGACCAGAGGGAAGAGGGGCCGGAGACAGCGCAGGCAGCCAGGGGGGCCTGGGCTTGAATGTGAAGAAGAGGCGATGAATCTGCTCCCCAAGTGTGGATGAGAGTGGGACAGGACAGGCCCAGGGACGCTGATCAGACTCCCCAACCGGCAGCAAGTCAAGTGTGCAGAGAACCACTTATTCATTCATTAGATGTTAAATATATTTTGAGCATCTACTGTGTACCAGGCATGGTGCTGGCCACTGGGAATACACCTGTGAAAAAGGAGACATAGTCCTTGAATCCGTAGATTCTAGTCGGGGAGGCTCATAATCATACAAGTAAAATGAATTCAGGTTAGTTGGGAAATCACAGGCCAGGAAAGAGGAATGAATGACTTTCTCAGCATCGTGCCGCAAGGTAGTGGTGGGGTCAGGTTTAGCCATGTTGGGCTGCATAGAGGCAGAGGGCTTGCGCTGGCTTTGGGTGGCTAGAGAGGGAACGGAAGGGTAATCTCAAGCAGGACCAGCATGCCAGGTCAGAGGTGGAGGAGGCATGTATCCGGAGCGGGGGGCAATCAGGGACGGTGGAGGTGACTTCTCCTCTCCTTCTTCACTTCCTCCTGGTGGCCAGATGCGCTCGCCCACATTTGCCAGAATCCCTTGCTTTCTACCCGACCTCCCCACCCTCTCCCCAGGCTGCAGTATGGTCCGACCTGGCCTTGACTTGGGCAGCTCTGGGGACAGGCACAGTGGCCTCGCCTCGGGGTCCTCAAGGCCCTAGTCGGCTTCTCCTGGGGCCCCGGCAGGGCCCTGCCCATGCCCTTATCTTGCCCAGGCCTGGCCACCTGTCTCTGCTCTGCCTCGCCTGCTGGGCACCACCCATTCCAGCCACTCCTGTGCTCCGCCGTCCACCTCCATCTGCCTCTGGCCTAATATCTGTCTCTTTTGCTTTGTCCTGTTCCCTCACTGGAATCATTAAGATTCGGATAAACCGTGAAGTAAGTATCTCTCTCCCGTTTCCTCCTCCTCCTGTCTGTCTGACCGGCCGTATCTCAGGCTTTCTCACAATCTCTGGCTGTCTCTCTCTCTCTCTCTCTCTCTCTGTCTCTGTCCTCCTTCTCCTCCACTTGTGTGCCTAGCACCAACCGTCCACTTCAGCAGCCTGGCCAGGGGCCGCGGGGGCTGAAAGTTTGACGCGACCCCTGTTGTAAACAATGCCCTCCATCTCCTCTACCCTAAGGGGGGCCTGCAGTGTCCGGGTGCCTCCCCAGGCCCCCCGGCCACCTCCCCGGCCACCACCTCTGTCGCCCTTCTCCCCAGCCCCTGTGCCCGATGAGTCCTCATTAGCCATACCTTCTGTGGGCCTGGGAGGGGTGGGGCGGGAGGAGCTGCCCTGGGTGCCCTGTCCCCCCACTGCTTGGGGGTCCGGGCCTTCCAGGAAGCAGGGGTGGCCCCAGGCACTCCCCTTTAGTAGTAGTTTCCCTTGTGTTCCAATCCCTTTGTCATCAGTTTGCTTGAAACGCAACCCTCACTGCTTTGCCCTCAAATTTAGCCCTAATTTGAATGTTTTATTTTGGGGGAGCTGTTGGGTATTTTATCTTAAAAAATTGTGCTACGTTTGGGCCTTATAAGAATTAAAAAAAAATTTCATCTAGCAGTCCTCTCATTTGATTTTTTAAATATAATTTTTGTAATAGTTGATGCCTGATGGGATTATTTTGGGGGTACCTTGTCTATTTTATCTTCTTTTTTCTTTTACAAATATATGTCTGGCTTTTTTATGATTGGAAAAGTGCAACTCATTATTAGACTTTCAGACAACATGTATATGCTTGGGACATTGCACTAATATATAAAGCATAAGGTCCCTGCTGTCACATCTGCTGGAGATGACAGTTATTCCTCATGTGCTCCTAGATACCGTCTGCCTTATTTTGAGTTTCTTTACACAGGTGATTTGTAAAGTTGCTAAACTTAAATGAAATATTAGACCCACAGAAGGCAATGGATGTACTCAGCCTTAGCAACCCCATTAGGAGGTGATGAATATAGATCATTATTTTTTTTTTCACTTTAAAATTTTTTTTAATTTTAATTTTTAAATTGTTTTGGCCACACCGTGTGGCATATGGGATCTTAGCTCCCCAGTCAGTTTCCCAATCAGGGATTGAATCCATGCTCCCTGCATTGAGAGCGTGGAGTCTTAACCGCTGGATGGCTGAGCAAGTCCGTAGATCACTGTATGTTTTTACATCTCAATCTCCATATAAAACTTTCATTTAGTTGTTACCAGACTCTTATGAAATACCCTGAAGGGACATGGCTTATTTCATTTACAAATGCCTGTTACCAAAAACATTATTGGCTGAGTACATGCTCTGTGCCAGGCACTTCTGGCACTTCATGTCATCTCTGCCACACTCCATGAGGTTGAGACCTGCATTTGGCAAATGACAAAATTGAGGCTTAGAAAGATTGAGTGGCTTACTCATGACCCCAAGGCTCTGGATTAGCAGAGCTGGGGCCTCAAATCCAACCTGAGCCCTGTACCCTTACATGAGACCCCCCCACTGTTACCTGAGACCCTGGATCTCTCTCTTTGGGGGCATTGGGATGCCCCAGGGGCCTTGCCCACTGTGCAGGTAGTCAGTCTCCTAGCTCTGTCCATTCAGAGGCACCAGGGAGGGGTGGGTGTTTGCCCGGGAATAGGCTCCTAGGACATGCTGATGCCCCAGAGTAGGAGCACCCCTGCTCTCTAATCCTGATCTCTAAAGTGGGTGTGCTCAAGCTGGTCTCCTTATCTTCCTTTAACATCTGAGCATTTAAAACTTTCCATTTCACTGTCCTCTGTGTGACGTAATTGTGCAATAATGCACATGTGCCACTAAAAAGTGAATATGCAGATATTGAAAGCCATCTGTCTGAAAAATTATTGAGCTCTTTTGTATGTATTGATTAGCAGTTGGGTGCTGGCAATATGCTGGGCACTGGAGACTCTGGCTCTTGTGTGAGAGTCTCAAGCAAACTGGCTTTAGGTGGAGTAGCCTGTTCCCAGCTTGACTGAGGCTGGGGGTGGAGGGCAACACTGGCGGCACCTCGGCTGAGTGCCCCCTCTGACCCCAGTTGCCCAGCAGCTCCCCTAAAGACATGAAGCAGAGGCGTGGCTGGGGAGACAGTGGGAAGGAGTTAGGCTAGACCTGGAGAGGTTCCGGTAGTGAGGGTTGAGTGACTCTGGGAGGCTCTTCATTCTTGGTAACTTTGACTATGTTTTGGTCATTTTCATGGGAACTGTAGGTATACAGCACGTGCGTGTCTTGGTATTATCCTCATATTCTGGAGGAGGACAGAGGCTTAGAGAGTCAGAGAGCCTAGCTACTCCAAGTGTGTTTTGAGGCCCCGCCTTGGCACCACCTGGGATCTGGTTGGAAATGCACAATCCCAGGCCTCTCCCCAGACCGGCTGAATCTGCATCTGCCTTTTAACAAGATCTCCAGGAGATTCGCGTGCACATTGAAGGCTGAGAAGTGCCTGCTCAGTGCCTAGAATCACACAGTTCCTATTTGGCAGCAGAAACCCAGCTCAGCCTGACCCATGACCCGTATTCTTAACTCCTGTTGTGACCTGCTGTCTGCCCAGTAATTCCTGATGTTCACGCCACTGAGATCTTCGGAGATACTTGTGGACATTTAAAGTGGTAGCAATAGTAATGGCGACTCTTGATTAAGTCTGGCTTTGTGTTTGCCATGTGCCAAGCCCCTAATGTGTGTAACTTTACCCTTCACAGCCACCCAAGGAGATAAAGACCGTAATTATTCCCGTTGTATAGATGCAAAAATACAGACACAGAGAAATAAAGGAATTTGCCCAACACTTAGCAGGAGTTGTGTAGAATTGGGGTTTGTACTTTGGCAGTCTGACTGCAGGGCCCCTTGGGCCTGGGGAGCCCACCGGGTCACAGGTGGGAGCTGTGTCGAGGGTGTGAACTTGAGGCCAGCGGCTGATCTTGGTTGTTTCTTTCGCACCAGCTCTGCACTGCTTCTTACTGATCCCATGTCACCTGCGCTGGTTCCCTGGGTGTCTCATGGGTGGGTCCCGTCTCAGGGTGGGAGTGGAGTCTGGCTGGTTCTACTTCTCAGCCTGGGGGCTCTGGGGATGGAAGATGAACGTAGCTCTTGGCCTCTTTTGTGGGGATAATATAGGTAAAGTGCTTAGCACAGTATGTGTCCATAACAGGGCCTCAAACATTTATTATTATTTTAATAAATAACTGTGTAAGTTAGTTATTATTGCTAGTATCATTATTATTGATTTTAAAGATTTTTAAAAACATTTTATCTAACGGCCATGAGCAACTCCTGTGCTCACTAGCTCCTAACCTGAAGCCTTCATTGGGCCACCTCAAGCCCTGGTGACCGGGTCGTGGGGAGGGACATTGCCCATTCTGGTTGCCCTGAGCAGGGCTGAGATAACTGACAAGACCCAGCCTGGGGCCTGGGGTTGCTTAGGGTCTCTGGGGCTTTGGGAACAGGGTAGGGTCACCCTGCAATGTATTTGTCTCCAAAGAGAGCAGATTATGGACAATTGTCCCCAATTATGAAAGGGGAGCCCCTCTAGGCCCATGAAGGAGTCGTGTCTTCCCTTGGGTCACGGAGCAAAGATGAGTTTTAACCCACGACCCAGCTATCCAGGCTCTCCTTCCTTCCTTACTTGGGGATGGGCAAAGGACAGGTCAAGAGGGTGGGGCACTTCCTTGAGTCGGGGCTGTGTGTGCAGCTTCTGGGAGAGGAGGACAGGAGGGCCTGAGCAAGTGAGGGGCTGATCCTCGGGGTCTTAACACGCCCTCTTCTCCTGTTCCAGGGTTACCACAGGTCAAATCACTTCATAGCCACTCAAGGTACCTGGCACCTCCGCCCGTGTTCCCCCCACCCCCCGCCCCAGCGTGCTGAGTGCCCTCTGCCTGCCTTCCTGCCTTCCCTGCTGATCTGTCTGCCTCCCTGTCTGCCTTCCATCTGTCTGTCTGTCTGGGCTTCTGGAATCTGGACATCCATATCTGTTCCCTCTTTGTGTTTGTGTCTCCCGATGTCTGCTGTCTGCGTGTAGCTCCTGGTCCACCTGTCTGTCTGCATGCAAGAGGGCCAGCCGCCCTCGGTCCTCTTGGGTGTGGATTGTGCCTCTTGGTCTGGGGGCTGCCTGGGTCCCTCAGGCTGTGTCTTATCCTTTCCACTGTCCATCTGTCCATCCCTCCCGGAGGCTTGTGCCATGGCCCTCCAGCTCTTCCTCCTGGGTTCCACTCAGGATGACCAGGGTCTCCAGGCAGGCTCTCCCTGATAATGACCACCCCAAGGGCCCAACAGGCATGAGTCGGCAGTTGATGGGGGTGTGTGGGGATGAGCATGAAGCCCCCATTGGGGCTCAGGACCCTCCTGGCCGGCATTGGTGGTATGGGGCAGTGGTGTGCTGGGCCTGGGTGGAGACCTGGCCCTAGAGACAAGCCCTCTCTGCGCCCCAGGGCCAAAGCCTGAGATGGTCTACGACTTCTGGCGCATGGTGTGGCAGGAGCACTGTTCCAGCATCGTCATGATCACCAAACTGGTGGAGGTGGGCAGGGTAAGTGGGGCCCCGGGGGAGGGGGCGTGGCAGGCAGGGGGGCAGTGAAGAGCCCGCTGAGCCTGCCCCTTGGGGCCTCCAGGTGAAATGCTCTCGGTACTGGCCGGAGGACTCCGACATGTACGGGGACATCAAGATCACGCTGGTGAAGACGGAGACTCTAGCCGAGTATGTCGTGCGCAGCTTTGCCCTGGAGCGGGTGAGTCCCCTGTGGTCACCAGGCCTCTCCGGGGGTGCCTGAGAAGGTGGGACAGGGCTCCAACCCAGGAGCGGAGGGTGGGGATGGCACTCTGCATTCCGAGCAGGGCAGCCACAGTGCCTCACAGGGGGCACTGTGAAAGGATGGAAAAGTGGCCGTCTTGACTGGTGACTGCAAGAGGAAGTCAAGATGATGAGGATGGTGAAAATGTAGAGAACGATGAGGACCATGAGGATAACTGCCAGGTGCTGATCCTGCTCTGTGCCAGGCGCTTGTACTCAGCCCGTCACACATATTGTTTCAGCCCTGTTTCAGTCTGTGGGTTAGGCCTTTGCCATTAGCCCCATTTTACAGATAGGGAAAGTGAGGCTCAAGAGTGGTTACATACTCACAGACGAGGCCACAGGCGAGGGATGGCTAAGTCTTCTGGTCCACAGTCTTATTGACTGTCTATAAAATCCTCAGAGGAAAGATAGTTTTCCCCCTTTGAACTAAGACTGGGAGCATCAAAATGATCTCTTAGGGCAGTTGTGTAGCAGGTGGCAGAAGTGACTTACAGTGCAGATTTGGCATCAGGCAGATCCTGGCCCAACCCCTGCCTAATGTGTGTCTTGTTTTCTTCGGGCAAGCGGTTTCTCATCTTTGAGGCTTTGGTTTCTTGCTTGTACAATGAGTCATTAATAGGCACCTCGTGAGTCTCACTGGGGTGAACCGAGTTCCTGTGGTGAGACGCTCACTCCCGTGCCTGGCACCGCTGCAAGTGTCTGGTAGACGCCAGCATCCAGTGCCTGGCACGCTGCGGGTGTCTGGTAGATGCTGGCAGGGGCTCTGACCGTCACTTCTGTTGTCTCCCCAGAGAGGCTACTCTGCCCGCCACGAGGTGCGCCAGTTCCACTTCACGGCCTGGCCGGAGCACGGCGTCCCCTACCACGCCACGGGGCTGCTGGCCTTCATCCGGCGTGTGAAGGCCTCCACACCCCCTGATGCTGGGCCCGTGGTCATCCACTGCAGGTGGGGTGCTGGGGAGCCCAGCGAGGAGGGGGTGGAGAACGAGGTTGTCTGAGGTCCCTAAGGGAGGCTGGGCCTGAGTCCATCCTGCTCAGAGACAGAGGGCAGGGGAGAATGACCCCCTGACGCCCTTCGCCCTTTGAGCTTTGGCTCTGGGATTGGCATTGTCATGTATACACTGAGAAGTGTAGCTTATTATTATAGGCTATTATGATAATAAGTAAGCTTTAGGAATTTCCCCAAATTCACTGTGAAGGACTCAGCGCTACTCAGATCAAGAAACAGAACATTAACAGAACTCAGAAGTCCCTGGAGCTCCCTTCTGGTCTGTACCCCACCTCCTCCCTTCCAGAGTGATCACTCTCCTCACTTCTAAGCCCGAGATTCATTCTGCATGCTTTTGAACTTTGTATCAATGGAATCACACATCAGGTGCTCCTTGGAGTCTGACTTTCTCTCAACCTTATGCTTGTAAGGTTCATCCATATTGTATCCTATTCCACTGGGTGAACAAACCAGCATGTGTTTATCCATTCTGCTGTGGGCAGGCATTTGGGTGTTTTCCAGCTTTGAGCTTTTATGAACAGTACTGCTAAGGACATTCTCTTACATGTCTTTTGGCTGACACACACACTCGCATTTCTGGGAGGTAGGTACGTAGGAGTGGAATCGCTCTGCGAATGTTCAGCCTTACTAGATATTGTGGACAGTTTTCCAAAGCGGTTTCACTAATTCCAGCCCCTATCAGTGGTATATGGGATACCCACTGGCTGTGTGTCCTGGCCAACACGTCGCTCTCACCATTTTCAAACTTGAGATCTTGGTGTCATCTTTGTCCGCCCTGGTCCTCTCAACTCTGCTCCACCTGGTGCTAAATGTGAGGATTCCAGAGATGGGTTCGACCCCATCCAGCTCTCAAGGAGCTCACAGTGAGGTAGGGCGACAGCCCCATAAACAGTGACCACGGAGCAGGGAAGAGGGTTTTGGTAAGAGTCCACCCAGCTTGCTCTGGGAACTCAAAAACCTGACATTTCCTGAAGGCTCCACTGACTATGTGAGTGGGTTTAAGTGTGTAGGGCTTTGAAGGGTGTGTAGGAGATTTCCAGACATCAAGGAAACCAGAACATTCTTGGATTAAGCTGAACGTCACTTTTGTTCCTCTTCCCCTGTCAGAGCTGCCAAGTTGAGCTGGTTTCAGGTCTGCATTCCCTCCACCCTTTCTTTCCTCTCCATCTCCAAGGCCCAGCTCCCACTCTGCCCTCTTGTCACATTTCCCCGGAACTCTTCCAGCAGCCTCCTCCCAGGCCGCCAGCGTCGCCCATCGCCTGTGTGGTGTAGATATGGCCCAGGGCCCCAGGTCTGCCCTGTTCTTCTTCGAGGTCCTGGGCTTCCTCCTTAAGCCTCTGACCTGGCCCCGGGTTCTCTTTCCCCAGCGCGGGCACTGGCCGCACGGGGTGTTACATCGTTCTGGATGTGATGCTGGACATGGCGGAGTGCGAGGGCGTCGTGGACATCTACAACTGCGTGAAGACCCTCTGCTCCCGGCGCGTCAACATGATCCAGACTGAGGTGGGGGTGCGGCGCTCCCCCCACATCCCCTCCAGGACAAGAGTCCCTCGTGTAGGAGCTCGAAGTTGGTGGAGGGTGACAGAAAGGTGTCAGAAAGGTGTCTAGGATGTCCCCCTGTCCTTTTCCATCCCTGGGCTTGGCCTGCCAACCTCTTTTTTTAAAAAAATTATTTTTGATTTTTGTTTGTTTGTTTGTTTTTAAACTGTTTTTTATTTATGCTGTGAGTGTGAGCTTTTGTGTTTAGACCTCTGATAACTCATAAATAAGAACATCATATAATGGCATTATGTAAATAATACTGCATGTTTGTGAGGCTATAATGTATGGGGTTATCTCACTTGATTGTTACAACTGTGATATTTAGAGCAGAAGGAATTCTTTTTTTTTTTTTTTATTTTGAGCAAATTATTTATTGACACGGAGCCTGTTTACTCAGTTGATTTGGATGAGATGGTTGGATGGCATCACCGAGGCGGTGGACATGAACTTGGGCAAACTTGGGGAGATGGAGAGGTTCAGGGAAGCCTGGCACGCTGCAGTCCATGGGGTTGCGAAGAGTCGGACATGACTTGGTGACTGACCAACAGCATAGCTGATTTACAGTGTTGTTAATTCCTGTTGTACAGCAAAGTGATTTGGTTATACGTATGTCCTTTGTTTTTTTGAATATTGTTTTCTATAATGGTTTGTCACAGGATATCTTTAAAGATTGGAGGATAATTGCTTTACAAAGTTGTGTTAGTTTCTGCTGTATAACCACATGAATTGGCCATAAGTATACCTATATCCCCTCCCTCTAAAGCCTCCCTCCCCATCCCGTGCCATCCCATGCCTCTCGGTCATCACAGAGCTGCCAGCCTCTCAGGGTCTTCCCAAGCTCAACTCCACTATGTTCAGTTGGGTGAGGTCACACAGAACTGGGCCAAGGTCATAAGTTCTACAGTCAAGACATAATGCTTCTTGGGTTTGTCTCCTCTCTAGATGTGTGACCCGGGGCTGTCCCCTCACCTTCAGAGCTTCTCGTAGGGTTATTATGGGATGAAATGTGAGATCAATGAGCAAATATCCGTGCAGGCTGTTTCAAGTATGGTGGGTCCCACGTGTAGTAACATATGGCTGGATTCCACCTCAGAGCACCCCAGCCGCAACTTTGAACTTGCCTCCTCCTGATCCTGAAATCTCTCATTTCTGCTCCCCTCCTGGTTCCTCATATTCTCTCCTCCTGTTCCAGGAGCAGTACATCTTTATCCATGATGCAATCCTGGAGGCCTGCCTGTGTGGGGAGACCACCATCCCTGTGAGCGAATTCAAGGCCACATACAAGGAGATGATCCGCATTGACCCTCAGAGTAATTCCTCCCAGCTGCGGGAGGAGTTCCAGGTGGGGCACGAGTGTATGTGTTTAGGTGTGGCTTGTGAGTGAGTGAGTGAGCATGTGTGTGGTATTGGGAGGCCCTTGGTGCTACAGGGGGCTTCCCTGCTGGCTCAGATGGTAAAGAATCTGCCCGCAATGCAGGAGACCTGGGTTCGATCCCTGGGTTGGGAAGATCCCCTGGAGAAGGGAAAGGCAACCCACTCCAGTATTCTTGCCTGGAGAATCCCATGGACAGAGGAGCCTGGTGGGCTACATACAGTCTCCATGGGGTTGCAAAGAGTCAGACACGACTGGGTGACTGAACAACATCAAGAAGAACAAGAGGAAGAAATGGAGACTCCATGAATCCGGATGCCTGAGGCATGGAGGCAGGAGAGGAGGGGAGGTGGCCCAGGGTCCTCGGTTCGCTCATGTGCCAGGTGTTCCTTGACAGGGCCTGGAAGGTGACCCCTTGCGCCAGGTCCCTGGAGTCTGCTTTATGGAAGATGCGGGGTTTTCAGGGCTTGGCTCCTGTAACGATCCTCACGGTGCCTGCTGTGTACTGAAGGTGGTACACATGCCAGGCTTGCTGTTATCTCACTTTATTCCCCCAGCAATCCCCTGGGGTAGGCAAATAATTATTCCGTTTTACAGCAGAGGGAAAATGAGGCTTAGAGATAGAGTAACTTGTCTACAGGACACAGGTGGCGAGGAGGTAGACTCCAGTCTCCAGAGCTCCGTCCGGGCCCTGCACAGCCTGAATCCAGGGAATCTGGGTCCCCCTCTCTCTCTTTTCTCTCTGGACCTCAGTTTCTCCATCCATAAAATGGGCATAATAACCCAGCCCAGTCTCCTTCATGGGGCTTCATGGGGGAAAGAGACCCCCCCACAAACACGGGACATCACCTTCCCTTCCTCTCCCTCTCTGTAGACTCTGAACTCGGTCACACCACCGCTGGATGTGGAGGAGTGCAGCATCGCCCTGCTGCCCCGGAACCGGGACAAGAACCGCAGCATGGATGTCCTGCCGCCTGACCGCTGCCTGCCCTTCCTCGTCTCCACGGACGGGGACCCCAACAACTACATCAATGCGGCCCTGACTGACGTGAGGCGCGGGGTTGGGCTGGGCTCTGGGACACCCTCACCCAGCAGTGAGGGAAGGTGCAGGAGCCAGGGGGACAGAACTGAGGATTCAGGTTAGGGGAGCCCTCTGCCTCTCTGGGGTGGCCCCTTGGGTGGCCTTCCTCCCCACCACCCAAGGATCTTCTATTCAGGGCCCTCAAGAACCAGTGCTCCCCCTCAGGTCTTACCCTCGGCCTGAGTAGGGATCTGAGTGGTGGAGTTCAGGCAGGGCTGTCTCCAGGGTCAGGCCCAGCAAAGCCTGGGTAGGATGAGTGATTCAAGGGCTTTGGCTGGGGAGGTTGGGAGGGTTTGGGGTTGGGATGTGAGATTTGGTATCTAGAGTCAGGGCAGCTTGTCCTGGGGTGGTGGAGTGAGAGCCTGCCTAGGAACCTGGCCTGGAGTAGTGACTTACTCCCCACGCCTAGCCGTCTGAGGTCTCAGGAGCTGTTTAGAAGCCTCTACTCCCAGCTCAGAAGGCTCCACCCCCTTTACTGGGCTTTGCAAACGGTGCCAGGGGATTTAGGGTCCAGTGAATAACTTCAGGGTGCCACTGCCTGAGGGGGACAGGTCTTGTGAGTGTCCCCCTATTCCTTCCCAAATGGAACCAGTTTGAGAGAGAGGTGCAGGGGGCAAACAGGTGGAGGTAAGATGTTACTGTTGTAAGGAAACTGGTGAGATTGGAGAAGGTGACTTCAGCTGTGTGGCTTACATGGACAGCTCCTGCTTCAGCCTCGGGCAGGCAGACCTGTCCTCTAAGACTCAGCGGTCCAGCTGGAGCCCCTCCCCGCAAGGGGCAGGCCTTTACATGTTGGCGGGGAGCAGCAACAGTTGAATGCACAGCTTCTGAGAAAGAGCTGGTCTGGAAAGAGAGGGGGAGGGCCTTCCCTTCGGGAGCTGAGCACTTCCGGTCTTGTCCCAAATCCACCCGTGAAGGTGGATGTCACCACTGGACATCCTGTCACCACTGGATGTCCCTCCATGTGGAGATGAGAGCTGTGGGGAGGGAGCTTCCCCCACCGCAGGGATGAGGCAGATGAGCCTTTCCTGGCCCAGTTCTTAGCCAGAGCCCCTTGGCACAATGGTGCAAGGAATAGTGGGGTTTCTCCAAAGAGAAAGCTCCCACGCTTCCTTCCCGGGGGCTTCCTGGAGTGAGCTGAAGGCAAACAGGGGTGAGCAGTCCCAGCCACTGAAGGGAGTGAATGGAGAGGCGGCTGGGGTCCTGGGGAGGGGGCCTTGGGTGCGAGTGAGCTTTGGAGGGGGATGTAGGGATCTGGCCTCACTCAGCTTGCTCTCTGGCCTCAGCGTGCCCGTCTGCACATGGGGGCGATGGAGAGGAGGCTCTCTGAGGTCCTGAGCCCCTGAGCTGGAGAGGGTCACAGTGGGCTCCTTGGCCCCGGTGGGAATGGGCCGGTCCGGTGGAGAAGCTTCCTTGGGGCCGTGATATGTCACACTTGATCCCAGCCATGCAGGCCCTGCTGCTTGCATTGTGGTGAGCTTGTCTGGGGGCCAAGTGGGGACCGTTTTTGGTGGTTAAGTCTGCAGGGAGCCACACTGGGCGCCCAGGCCTGAGTTTTGGGGTCTGGCTGGGCTCGGTGTTTTGGAGCTGCCAATCAGGGGGAGCCTTCGGTGGGCCCTGGGGAGGGGGGGTGGTAAGAGAAGAGCATCAGGAGAGGGAGGGGGCATGGCACAAGGGGGACAAGGCAGGGTACAGGAGGAGACTTGGGACTGGAGCACTGAAATGGGGGGAGGGCTGTGGCTGGCTCACCTGGTGGGGCAACGTCTGGACTGGGGAATGGAGTCAGTACTGGTGACTGGTCTGGGGGCTTGGGTTGGGGTCTCAGACCCTTCATCCGTGGAGTTGGAAGGCACCTAGGTATTTGTTTATTAAAAAAATATTTCTTGAACTCCTATAAAGTTCTGGTCACAGGCCACACCCTGAAAAAAATCTGCTCTCCTTAACCTTGCCTTTGGGGAAATGGGTTGAGACAGTCAGTGTACAATGTACTGTCAGTTACTGTTACTTTCTAAAAAAAGCAACCAGATAGAGGAAGTGTTTCATGTGGGTTTTGGGGTATGCATGTGGTTATTTTTGATGAATTGGTAAAGAGGGCCTCTTTGAAGAGGTTGAAGTTAAGCAATGGCCAGAAAGAAATGAGGGAGAGAGCCCTGTACACCTGGGAAATTTGTTCCAGGCAACAGGAATAGCAGGTGCAAATAGCAGGGAGCAAGGTTGGCTAGCCTCTGCCCACCATGCCCATTGCCACCTATTGGGAACCTTTGGCTATTTAGCTCAGGGGAGCCATGGGCTTGGGCCTTAGAGGCTTGGGGGCTCACCCTGTCAACTCAGGCCCCACGGTGCCAGCCAACCTCCACACTGGGTCCCTGGAGGCAGCCTGGTCCTGTGGGGTGGAGCTGGGGTGGGCAGGGCGGGAGGACATGGGGCAGAAGCTTGGCGGTGTTGGGTGCTGAGTCCCAGTTTCCCTGCAGAGCTATACCCGGAGCGCGGCCTTCATCGTGACCCTCCACCCGCTGCAGAGCACCACCCCCGACTTCTGGCGGCTGGTCTACGACTACGGGTGCACCTCCATCGTCATGCTCAACCAGCTGCACCAGTCCAACTCCGCCTGGGTGAGGGCTCCGCTGGCCAGGCAGGCTAGCCACCTGCTGCCCAGGACCTCGGTCTGTTCAAGGGCACATGGCAAAAGTCAGGGGTTGGACCCCAGCTCTGCCACCTACTTGACGAGTTGCCTCAGATGTGTCCTACTCCCTCCCAGAGCCTCGGTTTCCTTGTCTGTAAAACCAGGCTCAACCTGGAGAAAAGTAGCTGCTCTTTATGGAGCATCTGATGTGTACTAGGGACTCTGCTTTGCACTTATGGGCTTCAGGTGAGAGAATTAAGACCCAGAGAGGTGAAGGGACTTCTCCCAGGTCACACAGCTGGGAAGTGGCAGAGCCATGCCCCTTGCCTGGGGCTGCCTCCTCCCAGAGCCTCTGCTTTCTGTCACTCAGCTAATCATGGGGGCCTTTGAGGCAGAGTAGAGGTCCAGCCTCCTTACTTTCTGACAGTTTGATCGAGGCTAAGTTAATATACCTCTTCGAGCCTCAGTCTCCTTTTCTGTGAAATTGGGACTATCTCAGCACCTGTTCTGTCATGAGATTATTATCAGGATTGTATGAGATGTATGTGGGATGCTTAGCACTGCGCCGTGACTGGCATATAGCAGATGCTCAGTACACAGCAGGGGTGAAGATGATGAAAGTGACCATTGCTTCTGAGGATGGTCCAGATGGTGGTCAGTGATCTCAGCCTGAGGCAGCTCCCCTCATTTCTTTCTGGGGCTCCGGAAGCTGGAACTCCTGGGAGGTCCAGACGCCCCACCTTCCAGCTCTGTATGACCATTGCTATAAGATGAGCATGACAGCCTGGAGATGACTGCCTGGAGAAGATTGTTAACTGGGTTCCTTGAAAGTCAGGTAGTTGGTATAAATGACCTAGGACTTCAGGACCTGGGTAGGGGTCTAGGGGAATCCCACGTTGCAAGGGAATCCCATGTTACTGAGATGGAGAGGAGGGACCCAGAGGGAGGCTCACAGAGAAGTCATTCACTAGTCACATGTTTGTTCATTCATTTGCTCATGGGCCACTCCCTGTCTGCCTGGTGGGGAGGTAGAAGGAGAACATGTGGCCCCTCCCAGATCTCCTGGTTTGGGGGAAGCAGGTTCTGAAACTGATCATGACAGCAGAAGCAGAGGGCTACCATGAAGCTGGTACAGGGACACAGAGGAGCCTGGGGGGTGGTGTATCAGGGAGGGCTTCCTGGAGGAGGTAATATCTGAGCTGAGAGGTACAGGAAGGGTAGAGTTGAGTTGGTGAAGAGATGGGGGACAAGTGGTCCATGGAGAGGGAGCAGCACGTGCAAAGGCCTGAATGCAAGGAGTTGCCAGGACCTCAGGAGAAAGAGGAAGGTAGTGTCTTCCCTTCGTGGTCAGAGAGGGGGGTTAGATGGAGCAGCGTGTTGTCTGGGATGGGCCCCAGGGACCATTTCACAGCTGGAGAAACTGGGGCTCGGAGGAAAGAAGAGCCTCGCTAGAAGGCTATACTAGAAAGCTGGGGCCTCAGACCAACTCCCCAGAAGACCCACGTATTTATGTGTAAGGGGGCTGTGCCTTCTCTGTGGCTTGAGAATGCGACCTGGAGTGGGGTACATTTAGGACCCTGACTCCACGGAGGGGTCCTGGGGCCGGAGTAGGGGGTGCTAAGCTGTGCTGCAGCAGAGGGACATTCCATGTCTGTGAGCTGATGCTGGAGGGCTGAGGCAGCGAGAGAGAAGGCCATGGGGCAGGGGTGCTGGGGTGGGTGGGGATCATTTGAGGCCTGTCCTTGGAAGAAGGCAGCCTGGGGGAAGTGTATGTGCTTGTGATGGTGTTAGTGTAGCTGTCTAGTGGCACGGCGGTGTCAGTGAACCCATAACAAAGGGTTTGTCTCGGCTGACTTGAGTGTATCAGTACAAGCACACCGGGGCGTGTGTACATGTGATCTGATAGGTGAGTGGTGGGATGTGGGGGGGGAACTGAACGTGAGTCTGGAGTGAGTGGTGGGCTCCTGGGCAAGCATGGAGGTCTGGGGGTGGGTGTGAGCAGCAGCTGCCCACCAGCTCTGCTCAGCTCAGCTGGCCTCCCTGTCCCGCACTCCCAGCCCTGCCTGCAGTACTGGCCGGAGCCAGGCCGGCAGCAGTATGGCCTCATGGAGGTGGAGTTCGTGTCGGGCACAGCGGACGAGGACTTGGTGGCCCGAGTTTTCCGGGTGCAGAACATCTCTCGGGTGAGTGGGGTGGGAGCCCCAGGATGAGGATCTGGGTGGGGGCTGGGCGGCCTTGAATGACCCTCTCGAGGTCCCCAGGGGGCCGTGGAACCCTGGTACTCACGTCCCCTCGCTGATTGCTCCCGCCCCAGATGCAGGAGGGGCACCTGCTGGTGCGACATTTCCAGTTCCTGCGCTGGTCCGCCTACCGGGATACGCCTGACTCCAAGAAGGCCTTCCTGCACCTGCTGGCGGCGGTGGACAAGTGGCAGGCAGAGAGCGGGGACGGGCGCACCATCGTGCACTGCCTGTGAGTGCCGGCCCTCCCTCGGGTGGGGAGAGGACTTGGGGTGCCGTGGACCAGGGGCAGAGGTCAGGATGAGGGAGGGCTTCCGGGCTGGCACCGAAGTCCTGAGCCTCCAGTCAGCATGGCCAGGTGAAGCTGACCCTGCCTTCTTGGAGGAGCCCTGTCACTTTCCAGGGTGTGGACTCCAACCTCAACACATGACCAGTGTAGCCTCTGTGTGATGTTTGACTTTGCCAGTTTAATTGGAGAGAGCCCTGTCTAAATAGTTGAACCCATGATATGGTGGTGGTACATTTTTTTAAGCCAATGGAATCCTGGCCTTTGTTCGTGCCTGCATGCGTGTACTTTCTTTCTTTCCTTCCTCATGCATTCATTTACATGCCTCACTCACAGATTCATCTATTCACTCATATCTGGGTGCACTCATTCCTTTCCCTGCCACCATGTTTTCATGCTTTCAGCACTTACTGACCCCAGTGCCAGGCTGGGCACACAGGATGCAGGGGCAAGGAGCTGAGTCAGTCAGGGCTTGGCCCTCAAGGGCTTTTGGTTTTAGTGGGAGATGCCCCTCGGGAAGGGGACAGAGGGCCTGGTCTGTCCCCCATCTCCCAAGAGGACCCCCACCCTCGGGGTCCCAGAGAGCAGAGGAGGGAGAGGGCTGGGGGAATCAGAGGGTCTCGCTGGGGGCGCCGCCCATTTGGGAGTGTCTCTGTGCGTTTGAGGCTGTGTCTGTGATACTGGGGGGTGACTGGTGATCTCTGTGTTTGTTTTCCACTGTGCTGTCTGGTTTTTTGCTTGCTGCCCTGCAGCGCTCCTCTGTCACTGTCTGTCTGGGTGTCTTTCCCCTGGAGTGTGTCTCGACTCATTGTTCTCAGAATCTGCTCTGTTTCTCTTAGAGGTTCTGTTCTAGATACCTTCCGCTTCGGATGCTACTCTTTAACCCTCTGACTCCGCCCCCTTAACCATCGCTTCCTGCTGCCCACCTTTGGGCTCTCTGACCCCTTCCATCTGGGTTTCCTAGCCCCTCCCCTCTGGGTTCGCTGACCACCCTCTTCTAGGTTCCCAGGCCCTGCTCCTCCCTTCCGGGTGTCCTAGCTCCGCCCTCCTGGGTGCCCTAGCCCCTCCCTCCTGGGTGCCCTAGCCCCCCACTTCCGTGTGTCCTAGCCCCTCCCTCCCGGATGTCCTAGACCCTCCCTCCCGGGTGTCCTAGCCCCTCCCTCCTCGGTGTCCTAGCCCCTCCCTCCCGGGTGTCCTAGCCCCTCCCTCCTCGGTGTCCTAGCCCCTCCCTCCCGGGTGTCCTAGCCCCTCCCTCCCGGGTGTCCTAGCCCCGCCCTCCTGGGTGCCCTAGCCCCTCCCTCCTGGGTGCCCTAGCCCCCCACTTCCGTGTGTCCTAGCCCCTCCCTCCCGGATGTCCTAGCCCCTCCCTCCCGGGTGTCCCAGCCCCTCCCTCCTCGGTGTCCCAGCCCCTCCCTCCCGGGTGTCCTAGCCCCTCCCTCCTCGGTGTCCTAGCCCCTCCCTCCCGGGTGTCCCAGCCCCTCCCTCCCGGGTGTCCTAGCCCCTCCCTCCTCGGTGTCCTAGCCCCTCCCTCCCGGGTGTCCTAGCCCCTCCCTCCTCGGTGTCCTAGCCCCTCCCTTCTGGGTTCCCTGTCCCAGCCCTTCATCTCTGAGTTCACCCTACCCCGCAAGCCCACCCCCAAATCTTTTCATGTCTCTCCTGTAGAAATGGGGGCGGCCGCAGCGGCACCTTCTGCGCCTGCGCCACGGTCCTGGAAATGATCCGCTGCCACAACCTGGTGGACGTTTTCTTTGCTGCCAAAACGCTTAGGAACTACAAACCCAATATGGTGGAGACCCTGGTGAGGAGCCCTGTACCCCTTGCCCGTCCACTTCCAACTTCCCAGTCCACACCCGACCAGGCCCCCCTCAGATACCTTCTCCCGTATCTGGGCCCCACAGTTGGGCCTTGGGGTCTAGTCCTGTGGTGCGAAAGCGTCACCCCCATTTCTCCCCTTCTCCCCGACCGTGGGGCAGAGAGGGACCGGCTGGTGACTCCTTCCCTCCCTCTCCCAGGATCAGTACCACTTCTGCTATGACGTGGCCCTGGAGTACCTGGAGGGGCTGGAGTCAAGATAGCAGGGGCCCCTGGCCTGGGGCACCCACTGCGCACTCAGGGCCGGGCCCGCCATCCCCAACGGACGGACGAGGAAGACCTGCGCCCTCAGGGAAAGCACCGGAGTGGGTGCTGGGCCAGCCTGGTGCCCCCTTCCATTGTGGGCAGGGCCTTTCAGCGCGGCCGTGAGCAGGCTGCGGGCCAAGGAGGAGCTTAGCAAGACTGCAGCCCCGCCCGCCTCCACGGGGCCCTACAGGCCTGCTGAGAGGCCTGGCACCACCTGAGTGACCGGCTGAGAACTGCCACCTTGGGGGGACCCAGGCTCAAGCCCCTGGACTGCATCCCAGCCCTTGGCAGAGATGAGTGAAAGCCCTGCAGGGCAAATGGCAGGCCAGGGTTTCCACCCAGCTTGGCCTGACGTGGGGAGAGCGTGCACTGTGGCTTGGTGTCTAATATCCCATCTGGCCAGCCCCTGTGGGTCTTGGGAGACCACACACTCAGCCCTGATTCTCCAGTGGGCACTTCAGACTGGTCCTCGCAGGGGCAACTTCAGCTCCCTTCTCCACCCCCCGCCTCCCTGCAGCCCTGGGGATATTTTGCTCATGGTCCCCCCCACCCCCACTCCAAGTTTCTGCTTCCCCGAATGTGCCCTGAGCTCCCCCGAACCAGGATCTGCCCTCCCTCCCCTGTCCTGTGTGGGGTCCCTTCCTTGCTTGACCCAGTGTCTGCAGAATGAAGTCACCTCAGCCCCCTCTGCCTGTCTCAGGCTTCACTGGCTGGGTCCTGCTCCGCCTGGGTCAGTGACAATCGGCAAGGCTGAACAACAGCCCCTGGGGTTGAGGTCCCTTTGGCTCCTGGTCAGGGTGCCTCCTGGGGTGCTGTTAAATCAGGGGTGCTCACCACCCCCTAGGGTTTGGAGAAAGAAGGTATATTTTGAGATGGAAGATCAGTGCTTTTCTGTTTATTTTTTGATGGGTGGGTGGGAAGTTCTCTTTAAAATGGGGCAGGCCACACCCCCATTCCGTGCCTCAATTTCCCCATCTGTAAACTGTAGATATGACTACTGACCTACCTCGCAGGGGGCTGTGGGGAGGCATAAACTGGTTGTTTGTAAAGCGCTTTGTAAATAAACGTGCTCTCTGAATGCCACCAAGCAGCCTTATGTGTGTCTGACCAGCCTGACTGGGACCTCCTCACCTGCCCCCAGCCTTCCAGTATAGCGGGACGGCCCTGGTCTGGCCTTGGATTTTTCCATCCATAAAACGGGAGGAGAGGCATGGACCTGAGCGTTGTTCAGCGGCCTTCCACTTGCAGAACTGGCTCCACTCAAGCCTCTGAAGCACTTACTCAGTGTAAGGGGGCTTCATCCTGAGACCTCTGAGGGCCACGGAGCTGCCTCTCAGCCCTTGTGGGCCTGGACCCAGTTTGAGCTCCTTTGGGAGAGAGCTCCTGAGAAGCTCAGGCTTCGGTGTCAGACAGACGGTCCCCCAGGGCTGTGCGACCCTGGGCCAATCAGCTGCCTCTCCTGACCTTGGTTTCTTTCCTATTTGTAAAATGGAGACAGTTCTATTTAGGATGAAATGAGACAATGATTAAGAGCCTGAGTGGTGGTGGGTGTGTGGAAAGAGCTCCATTTAAAACAACACAGACGGGACAGGGTGGACCCACATCTTGTGGGGATGGCCGTTCAGCTGCCCGAGTCCGGCCCATCCCCAGTCTTGGAGGAGGAGTGTGCTGGCTGGCAGGGACCCGAGTCACTCCTGGCTCTGTCACAAACTTGCTGTAGGATGTGGGCAAGATTCTTCCAGTTTTTGGGCCTTGATTTCTTTTTTTTTTTTTCTTTTTTTTTTTTTCTTGATTTCTTTATGTGGAGACTGGCTCTATGATGTACTGATTTTGTCTGCACTGACTGACTCTGCCTCAGTTTCTTGGTTGAAGGATACAGCCCATTCTAAAACCCTCACAATTCAACATCCCTTAATCTGAATTAAAAATCTTTTAGATGGTTATGATCCCACTTAGCGAGGGCACAAACTGACCTTCCCATTCATTCTGAACTGACCACTAAGCCTTACTTGATGGGCCACAAATGTATGTCATAGATACTGGCCAAATAATAGACTGGGATTTGCTTTGACCAACAGAATGTGGCAGAATTTACATCAAGTGAGCTTCTGGGCTTCCCAAGTGGTGCTAGTGGTAAAGATCCCATCTGCCAATGTAGACATAAGAGTTGTGGGTTCAGTCCCTGGGTTGGGAAGATCTGCCGAAGGGCATGGCAACCCACTCCAGTATTTTTGCCTGGAGAATCCCGTGGACAGAGGAGCCTGGTGGGCTACAGTCCATGGGGTTGCAGAGAGTCGGACACAACTGAAACGACTTAGCTTCACATATGCACGTGTACTTAGCTTCATGTAGCACTAGCTCTGGCTTCTAGACCTTCAAGAGGCATTGCAGCTTTTGCTTTTGCCCTCTTGGCACTCTGTCATGTGATGAAGCCTGTCTCGCCTCCTGAGAGATTTGAGGGCACATGGAGAAGAACCAACATATGGTGAATGAGGCCATCTTGGGCCTTCCAGTCAGGCTGACCTGTCAGGTGAGTGTAGCCACAAGATTAAGCTTAGCCAAAACTGCTCAACTGACCCCCAGAACTGGAAGAGATAACCAATTGTCCTATTGAGCCAGTAGGTTTGGAGATTGTTTTGTTATGCAGCAAAAGCTAACTAATACATATGAGTTCTGTGCAGTGGGTCAGCGGTCCTGCTTCTCCATCAGGTGCTGAGTTCCTTAAGGGCAGGAAGTGTTTCGTGTTCATCTGATTGTATCCACTGCCTGGCAAAGGACTGGACTTGAAGCTGATGCTCAGGAAATGTTGGTCTGAGGGAGGGAGGGAGGGAGGGCGGGAGGTTCTGCCTGTCTCTCTGGCCTTTACTTGAGCTTTCAGAGGAGCTGGGAGGGCGGGCTGTGTATTAGGAGGAGTGCAGGCTCGAGAATCAACAAGCCAAGCTCCCACGTCCCCCCAGCTGGTGACCTTGCTCGTGTCCCTGAACTGCCCCAGGCTCAGTTTCTTTATCTAGAGAAGAGACATAACATTACTTCCTTGCAGGACTGGTTGCAAAGTCTAAAGATAAAATGTTTGAAATGAATTAGCAGAGTCCCGGTGACATCACTGGCTCTCAGAGTCACTATCTCTTATAATCTCGAAGCCCCTGGATAGTAAACATGCTCACTGTTGCCTATTGTTTAGCACCTGCAGCCTTTGTCTCTTACTTAATCCACACAACAGCCCTTCAAAGTTAGGGGCCACCCCTTCATTTTAGAGATGAGGAAACGGAAGCTCAGGAAGGCAGTTTCCTCACCCAAAGTCATAGCCTTTGCCCGGCAGAGCTCAGATTTGAAACTACATCAGGCTGACTCCAAAGGCTGTGCCTGTAGCTGTGCCGTGGCCTGCCTGGGCGGGGGTGGGTGTTGGAAACCAGGGGATCCCATGATGCAATGCCAAATGTGATCGGTGGCCTGGGTGCTGACCTTCAAATGACGTGAAATGTGTTAGAGGCAGTGGCCTCTAGGACAAGGTGGCCTGGAGCGCAAGAAATTGAATGGGCCAGGCTGGCTCTGCCCGGGGCTGCAGGCGGAGCAGACTGGGGTATAGACCCCTACTCGCCCCACTCCAGTAATTATAATCTCTACAAGTGCAGAGGGGCCAGCTGCCTATTTACTGCCTGGAGCTAAATTTTTTTCTTTATGTCATCATAAATCTGGCTGTAGGAACCTGCCAAGGTAATTATTACCTCCCACCACCACTCTGCCGGGCCCTGATTGGGACATGTTATACGTCCTGGGCACCCAGAAGACGGAGCTGTGACTTTGATGGATGCTAAGGCCATTTGTAAGGCCCTGATTGAGAGCGGGGCCTGGCTGTTCCCTGTCACCAGGCTCCTACTGACCTCCCCCGGCAAACTCTACTGGACAGGGGCTTAACAGACACCCTCAGGGTGGAGGCCAGCGCAGAAATAAAGATGTCATTATGTGGGCAGAACTGCCTGTGATGGGGCGGTGGGAGCAGAAACTCTGGTGTCCAAGGCCCTTGGTCCACAGGCCTCTTCCCCATGGGGGAACCGCGGCTGGTCCTGACCTTCAGTCAGCCTCGGGGGCCTCATCTGAGAAACGGGAGAAGAAAGAATCAGGGGCTTTGTGCTTCCAGGGCAGGGGGAACTGGATGGTGCATAGGGTTAGAGGGACCTATGGTTTCAACAGGTTCAGGCCAAGTGATGTCTTGGTGGAGGACGAGAGCCTTGGACGTGGTGATGTGAAAGAGCAAAGCTCCGTTTGGTGCATAGAAGGCCCTGGGCATGCTGCCAACTGCTCCGTGCGGACGGTCCTGCTGGCCTCCGAGGAGACCTGTGAGGCCGGGGACATTGTCATGCCCACTCTAGAGGTGAGAAGATTGGGACTCTGTGAGTTTAAGTGACCTGCCCAAGGTCACAGAGCCCTGGAGTGACTGACGGACAGTGGCGGCCAGAGTGGTTGCTCAAACAACTATACCAGATCCCATCGCTGGCCTGCTCAGACCCCCTGAGACCTCCCATACTCGGTGGGCGAAGCTGAGCTCCTGGGGTGACCTCGGAGGCCCTGCCTGATGGGCTCTGCCTTCTCTCCGCGTGTCCCTCCTGCTTCTCCGCTCACTTCTCACGGCCCTGAGCTCTCTGCCTGGGTGCCCTCGACCAGCCTCTGCATGGCTGGTCCTTCTTGGTGTCCAGGTCCCAGTTCAGATGCCCCCCATCACGAGCCCCTCCCTGATGGGCCCCAAGGGGGACCCCTGCCCCACTGACCTGCATCTCAGGGCCTTACCCTTTGTATGTCCCTCCTCACTCTCCTGAAGTTGGTGATGAACTTGGTTATTCATTGATGATTTACTCACTGTCTAGCCCCCCAGACTGTGCGAGGGCCGGAGTTGTGTAGATCGGATCCCCGTGTCCCCTGCACTAGCACGGGTGCCTCGCTTGTAACGGATAGTCACCGA